ACCTCACTCCACCCTTTCACTCTCTCCTCAGGGGGTACCCAGTGCTGGTGCCTCCAATTCTGCAGCTTCCCTGGGTGCAGCAACACAAAACAACTTCCTTCTTTTCTCACTCAGTTCCACTGAAGTCAGTTAACATTGATGTACCCGCATTTAACTTGTAAATGTGATTTTCCTTTTTCTTTGTCCTGGAAAGTGTATGTGTTCTTTTACTCCATTATCATAATTTTAGACAGCAGCTATAGCTACCTACATTTCATCTGCTAGGCTCAGCCAGCCAACCTGAATGTCATCTCCAGCATAATCTTCCTTAAACACCACAAGAGAGTTTGAAGAATATATTCATTGAGCACCCATTCTCTGCAGGGCACATCCTGAGCATCTGGACAGTATTTGCATTTCCATACATGGGGTACCTGGGAAAAAATCAGTCCCTTGGCAGCCCCACCCCTTTCCTCATTGGGTTGCCATGAGAATGAAATGATCTCAGGTATGGAAAGGGCTTAGCATAAGGCAGTGGTTCTCAACCTGTGGGTCACGACCCCTTTGGGGGTCGAACGACCCTTTCACAGAGGTCGCCTAAGACCATCAGAAAACACATATATAATTACATATTGTTTTTGTGATTAATCACTATGCTTTAATTATGTTCAAATTGTAACAATGAAATTGGGGGTCACCACAACATGAGGAACTGTATTAAAGGGTCGCGGCATTAGGAAGGTTGAGAACCACTGGCATAAGGCCTGGGCCAGATTCTATTCTATTCTAATGAACTGATATCTTTGTGGTCTTTCCTGGAAGAGGCTCAAGGCTCCCTCCCATACAAGATTTGCTCCCTACAGCCTAGTGCAGATCTCCCAGCATGCCACATAGCAGAATCATGTCATTTATGGCACTTGGGGTCATGAGGCTATTTCAACATGTCAACTAAGAGTTCAGAAGCCCTGAACCTAAGCTAGAACTGAGTGGCAGATGTAATTAGTGCTGACTCAGTAATCCACATGCTCCCCATTAGTCCCCAGCCACCGCTATATGGCTAGTGTAGATCGATGGACTAGGAGCAGAAATGACAATGTCATTCCCAACTGACGCAGTGGAAAGCCAGAGGGCCTCCTTTTCCCTCTCCTTTCATGGTTATACCAAAGGTTATATGTTCCAAATGGAGAGCTACAAGATGGTAAGCGAAGAAAAAATAAATCCTGGATCCTTGAGTGATTGCCTGGAACAAGCCAATCCAACCACACTCAAATAGTAACCCAAGAGAGAAATAAGTATTGGCTATAGTAAGCCATTGAGATTTGGGGTTTCATTTATTACCACACTATCTCTAGGGAAACAAATCCACTTGAGAGAACTTGTAAAGATAAAATTAAAGGGACTTCAGGGTCCACTAATGGCAGACTAGGTAATTCAGACCAACCTTCACACTAGAAAAAAATATATATTTTAAATGACTACTCAAAAGCATTGAAGAGCTAGCTAGCATGGCCGTGAAATTTTACCTGGCCATCTGGGAGGAGAAAAAAATCCAAAGTAGTGAGCTTGACATTTGAGGCCACTTTTCGCCTGGGAGCATGTTATTGATAACAAAGCCAGTGTTGGACAGCTGAGCAGTTTGATGGCCTGGTATGGATACAAAAGTTGGATGTTGGTGGAAACACAGCGGTGCGGGTGGGGACCGTGAAGCACTGTACTCTCGGAAGAAGGGGGAATGGAAAGTAAAAGAGCCTTCACATTGCCTGTGGCCCAGCTTCACACCATCTGGGCGGCCCAGGGGATCTCAGGCCTTGCAATTGGATGAAAGATCCCAGATTGCTAGTGTCTTCGGGCTCCTGGAAGAAGCAAACAAAAATCCTCCCTGGAGAGAAAAAAAAACCAACACATTATTTTAAGCTTAAATTCATTTATACAAACAACATCTCATATACAAATTTAGATACAAAAAAAAACCACAGGCACAGACTGAAATGAGATAATATGAACAAGAATCACCAAAATGAGCAGAAAATAGAATCACCTGGTCTGCAGATAGTAGCACTAATCAGACTTTAAAATATGTAGTTTATTATGTTCCAGGGGGAGAAAATGGTATTAAAAATTTCAGCAGAGAACTAGAAATGTTTTTTAAAAGACACAGCAGAATTGAAAAAGAACCAATAAAAGTTCTAAAGCTGTAAAAACAATAACTAAAATTAAGTGCACAATGGATGAATTTTTTTTACTGGAATAGATGTTGTTGAAGAGAAAAATAAAGAACTCAAAAATAAGTCAGAAGAAGATGTTCAGAATGACACAGAAAGAGACAAAAGGCTGGAAAATACAGAAGAGATAGTAGGCATCCTACACACAGTCCAGCACCCATTTAACTGGAGTCCTGGAAAGAACAGAGAGAGAGAATATAGCAAAAGCAGTATCATGAGAGATCATGGCTAAAAAATTTTCACAATTGATGTAAGACATTGAGCCACAGATTGAATTAAATGGACTTGGCAGTAAAGAAAGGGCTACTTTAAAAAAAAAAAGTCAACAATTCTAACTCCAGCAAAAGGGTGCTGCAATTTACTGAAATAAAAAACAGAAAAGGAAGAACAGGTTTGTTGGGGTTGGGAGGAGTCAGTGTGAAGTAAAAATAGCAGGTTTCAAGTTGTACCTGTTGAATTTAACATCTAGGCAGGGATAACAAATGTGCCATTATTTCTTGAGTAATTGTTCTTTTCCTTTTCATGTTCAGGAGTCTCCAAAACTTTCAATCTTTAAAAAGAACCAGTTAAACCTTTTTGCCTCAAGAATCCAGCACCCTTAGAGGCCTCCTTTCCTCCTTCTCAGATCCATGGTTTGCCTCCAAGGCTCGATCTACAAATGGATATTTACACCAAAACATACAATGACTTGCAAACTGCATCTGCCTGGTGTTCAATTATAATTATCCGTTCAAGGCAACCTTCACAACACCCCTCACGATAAAATAATGTGCTTTTTAGTTATAACACCATGATCCAGGGCTCCATTATTTTTAATATTATAAAGGCAAGTTACAGGGACCCTAAAGGCTTTGATTTACCAAAATTTGAAATTTCTGCATATGACACTGACTTTAAATGATGGAGCAAATACAACTTGGTGTCACAATTTACAATATTACCTTAAGGATTATCATGAGGTTTTTTTAAAAATAGTTATTTGACTTTATTAACAGAAGAAAAGGAAAACACTGGCTACCATAAAGTTCTCTCTTTTTCTTTTTACTTAGAAAACAGCACGACTTTCACAATAAATTCTGTGGCTAATGGATGAAAAATAACATAGCATGCTTTCTTTTCAACTGAAAGTTCCCAAAAGGTTAAAAGATGACAATGGTGATGGCTAATGTTTATTTAGCACTTTCTACATGCCAAAAGCTATTCTAAAGGACTTACATGAGTTCACTCATTAAAGACATTTAAAGACAGATGATAATGCAAATTATATACTAATGATATAAAGAATATTATTTAATAAAGAATCAGGCAATTCCTTTTTTTAAATCAACTCTGTTGGTACAATTGGGGACCAGAAATATATATATATATATGGGAGAATTAGAAAAACACTCTACAATAATAAACTACATGCAAATGTATTTTCCACAATATTATATTTTTCTTCTGAAAGTATAAATAAAATTTTCAAAAACAATGAACAGGAAAATAATTGTATTTTCAAACAACTCTTTGCATGCCAACATTAAAATTTTAAATATCATTAAATTTTAAAATATATCTGAAGAGTATCCATGTTATTGCCTTATGCAAATCAAATATGAATTTTTCAACACTAGGTCTAGTTGTCACAGATGTTTTCTATCTACTACCATATTATTGTTTCCCCTGAATATCATTCCAAATACAGTCATTTAGAATATCTCAATCATAATTTTGTATAACTTAGTCAAACTTTCTAATATCACCATTAGAAATGGCTAAAGACATACATTTTTTTAAACAGACTTTTTTTCAAGAAAATTTTACCTAATAAAATGCATGATCTGATTTTTTAAATTACTGAATGTCTTAATGATTTATAAGTAATTTGGGACATTACTTAACAACATTCTTGATATTATGAAGGGTTGAAATTTAATAGCCAAGCTTTTGTTTACCTCTTCTTGGCCATTTTTGATTAGAGATTCCTGGAAATTTACTATCTTACATAGCCTTTTCTTTTTCTTTCTTTTTTAAAACCATTTTAATCTCTCCCATAGTCTGTGACCCTTATTATTTTTTAAAAAACTATGAATTCACAGAATCATTTGACTTTTTAGGTCACAGCCCTTCATCCAACATGTGAATGCTCTGCCACATTAACCCAAATGCTTCCCATCCCCTGCACCAGCCAAAAGACGAAGTTATGCACAAGACAGCCCACTGCATTGTTTTCATTATTAAAACTATCTTTCCTACGCTAAGGTGAAACCCTCTTCCCAAAAACTAATACCTATTTTGGACCCCACCAACCTCAGCACTGGCCCTGGCAGAATGGCTTTGGGCCAATCTCCAGCTTCCTTAGTTGTAAAATGGGGATAAGAACTGTATGTCATTGTGGGTGTGCAGATTCAATGAGGATGTTCTAAAGCATCTGGCACAACACAGGGCCTCCCTGAGCACAGCCTTTCTTAGGGTTAGGAAACCTCCTCTGCATGGCTGCTCTCAGAGATGCAGTGGCAGCTACTGTTTTCTCTCCTCCAAGCCAAATATCCCCATTTCCTCCCATTTTCTTTTTTTTTCTTTTTAAAATTTATTATTTCAGAGGGTAAGGAAGAGGGAGAGAGAGAGAAACATCAATGATGAGAGAATCATTGATCAGCTGCCTCCTGCGTGCCCCCTATTGGGGATGGAGCCTGCAACCTGGGCATGTGCCCTTGACCGGAATCCAACCCGGGACCCTTCAGTCCTCAGGTTGATGCTCTATCCACGGAGCCAAACCAGCAAGGGCCCATTTTCTTTTTAAAAAACAACAACATTATATATATAAATATACCTATTTTGTCAACTTAGCGTAAATTCCATACCCATAAATGTCATTGCAAGATAATATCTCTTTTCTCTATTGCTGATTAAATCTTCTCTCCCCCTCCCCCACCTCCAGGGTCCCCATATTTAACCCCCTGGCAAGCTGGGCTACGGGGAAGGCAATAGGTATGGATACTTTCTGGTTCTAAGGTGAGGGGAAGACAGAAGTGCCCCTCAGACATTAGGCTGTATCGGAGAAGCTTCCCTCTTCATTCTGGTACGATGTCAGCTCTCCCTCATCAAGGGTCACTCCCCCCTGCCCTCTCCATTCCTTCCTCTGGATTTCACAATTCTGGGTGGTGGCTCCATACGACATCTTCTTTCTGGGACTTGCAAGACTCTCATGGTTGAGTTCTATCTCCTCGGCTAATTCATCTTGGTCGATGATTCCACACTTCTCCTCGGAGAGGTTCTCAGGGTCGGCCCACTCCTGTTTCTCTCCCGAAGCAAAGACCCCATAGAAGATCACGCCACTGTAGTGCACCAGGGCAGCGATGAGGAACACATTCTGCCATTCCTCGCGGGTCTAAACAGGAAACAGTACTAATCATTATTTTAACAAGAAAAAGAGAGAGAGAGAGAGGAACAGAATGCTCTGGACAAAAGTTCCAGTCACCCCAAAGGCAATGTTGTGCTCCTGGGAAGACGTCAGAAGCATGCCCGGGATCCAAACAGAGTTTGAGTGTTTGAGAAATGAAAGTTACGACTACAATGAATATGCATTTTTTTAATTTATAAAAATACTTTACAAAATAAGCATCATGTAAAATACAGCTCTCTGAATATACAAAACAGGTTTTCACTCAGCTAGTAGGTTAAATGAAACTTGCTTTCGGAACCCACCATTTTTAATATCAGAGGTCTCAAATATCAGAGGTCTCAAATCAGAGGTCTCAAAAAAAATTTCCATTTGAGCCATGAAAATACTCAGTCTTCACTGTCAATAGCTTATTTATAATTACATTTTCTGTGTAAAATACCGTATCAAAAATAATGGGTATTTGTGTTTAAAGTTAAGGGAAGATAGTGACTAGATTTAGTAGGCATGTTATCAATCTTATCATCTCACTAACAGAGAGGGAAACTGAGTATTCTCTGACTGTAATAATCTCCAAATCCCACCTTTCTTTTCTATCAACAAATAAGAAACTTTGCCCAGAAGCATGGCTCAGTGGTTGAGGGTTGACCAGAAAGTCACGATTTGATTCCCGGTCAGAGCACATACCTGGGTTGTGGTGGGCTTGATCCCCAGTGTAGGGCATGCAGGAGGCAGCAGATCAATGATTCTCTATCATCATTGATGTTTCTCTCTCTCTACCTCTCTCTTCCTCTCTGAAATCAATAAAAATCTATTTAAAAATAAATAATAAATATGAAAAAATTGCCCATGCTTTTTCCCCCAAGAAGCTGAAAGACTTTCTGAAGTTATATTTGTAATAGGCAATCCAAGTTAAAATATATATGCATAACCCATGGACACAGACAATAGGGTGGCGAAGGCCTGGGGCGGGCTAGAAGGGGTCAATAGGAGGAAAAGAGGGACATATGTAATACTTTCAACAATAAAGAACTATTTTTTTAAAATAGTAGGGTAAAAACAACATAGTTTCAAAAATTCTTATTTGTAGAAAGCAGCATCCTGAAGCCTCTTCAGTGACAGAGATTAAGAAGCCATGTGGCCTGTGGCTGAACTCTGCATGGATCCTCTTTCCTGGTCTAAATGCAGAAAGGCTCAGTACTGACCGATGCCATACCCTTCTTAGGACGCGTCATTAATGTCTTATTTATTTTCTGTATCATAAGGAAATATAACAGCACTATTTTTATGCTGGAACATGTTAAGCAATAGATGGAAATGGGCTATAAAGTTTAATTACTTAGAATCATAAAACAATCTTGAGTAATTTATTCATCCTGAGTTGATTGCCTCAGTTTCTTCCTGTCTCTAAACAGTCTTTATGGTACTTGTCCCCACTACACACACACCTTTTATTTGTCAGTTGAGAAATTGAAACATGGAATCAAAATTAATCAGTCCTGTTGCCATCAATAAACAATAAATTAAAGAAGAAGGAGGAGGAAGGGGAGGAGGAGGAGAGGTGAGGGAAGGAAGAATGGAAGGAAGGGATTGAGGGAGAAATAAAGAGGGGAGATGAAGAGATGAAGAAAGAGAGATGAAAAATAAGATAAGTTCAAATGACTCAGCCAAGGTCAAGGACAAACATTTACAGGCTGGGGTGGGGCTTTGAAATCACAAGTTTGTGCAATATTTCAGTCCTCTGATCCTCACAGCCCAAAAGGAGGCCATTACCTTGTGCTTGGTCATTGCACCAACAATGAGTGGACAGACCATTCCAGAGAGGGTTCCCACTCCGTTGGAGATGCCCATGAGAATGCTGGCGTAACGGGGGGCAATGTCCAGGTGGTTGACATTAAAACCTACAGTGAAGCAAACCTCAAAATCAGAGTCAAGACCAGAATCCCAAATACATTTTGGAAACTACTTAGTTTCCCCCCAACTCTCATCAATCTATGCGGTTTCTTTTAGCATAAGACTAATGGGTACCTGTACAGAGAGGGCTGGGCTGAGGATTGTCAGGCTGTGTCTGCATCTAGAGGAAAATGTGCTGTGATTGATTAGCAATGTCTGCATGGACTCTCCATAGAGAAAATTAAGGCACTTGTGCCTTTTAGGTTCAGCACTCCCAAATAATGGTGTTTTCAATACTGAAAAGCAGAAAGCCTGGGTCACATTTATTCAGAGTAAACAATCACACAATCACATTCGGTGTGATGAGAATCAAACCCTGCCTCATAACATCCTCCCTTCCAGCCCTCCCTTCACTCCCAATAGGCCACCCTAGGGAAGTCTGCCTTAGTGGCCAAATGGCATACTGGCTAAGGTACTTTTTAAGTAATAAATTGCAGAGACATTGGCAGAATCCCCTGTAATTTACAAATACCTTCCATATAATACTTGATTTTGAGTCCATAAATCTATATTTTAATCATATCTCTAACATTTAAGTCATTTTAGGCCTTTGTTACCTCATCTCTAATATGGGGTATTATTACTACTTAAGTCATAAAGATGCTGTAATATGAGACCCAGGTGAAGTATGTATGTAATATCCCATGGCAAATAGCTAAGCTCTGCTAACTACCACAAGCCACCACTAACCACCATTAACTACTTCTACCACTACCACAACTACCAATACTACCACTAACCAGCACTACCACCACTAACCACCACTAACTACCACTACTACCACTACCATTACCAGTACTCCTCCTGCTATGATGTTGTTGCTAGGCATCTCCTCTCTTTGATCAAAAGATGCTGCTGCAGGGAGTGGTAAAATAATAACTTGCCAATACCTCACTATTCACCTGTTTATCAGGAGAAAAGAATGAGTGGAAATGGGGAGGAGTGGCGGCAGGGGAAGAGCCAGGCTGCAAAAGGGACAGCTTCAGGCTCTAAGAACCAACTCTACCAATATTGCCCAACAGTGCATTTTAGAGTCAGACAGGCCTGCCTCTGATAGCTTAATTGAGATGCAAACCTGGACAAAGGATTTAAACTTTCTGAATTCCACTTCTTCATCTATAAACTGGCATAATAATTCTTATACAATTTTTGTAAGAATTCACTTAAATAATGTATGTTCATTACATGGCACATAGAGGTAGAAACTAGCACATATATGGGTTTTTTTTTGTTGGTTATCCATATCTGTCTTGTTTCTATTTTAATACCTGAACTGGCAAAGTGTCTGGCACACAGTAGGCACTCAATAAATCATTATTTGATTAATTATCAATTTCAGCCATGACATGACAGTAGGGGGTTGTAATTTCTATTTATTAATTTTTGGGTATTGCTTTGCTTTTTAATTCTCTATTCTGTGCAAAGAACCTGAAAAAAGGAACTAAGATTGTTTGTCCTAATCAGGCACATTGGCTGGTTGCTTTTTCCTACTTCCATTCAGGAAAATTTTTGAGAAAACCTTTTTTTGTTGTAATAAACATGCCATCTCTTTCAGATCAAAGTGGCAGACAATTCAAATATGAAATAGCTGCAAAATTAATTAATCTTGCTGTTGATTTCAATGTGATAAACACTTATTAGAAAAGAACCCAGAGATAAGAAGCAATTAATGTGATTGTCGAGCATTATACTCCGATGCAAAGCCCAGGCATCTGTGTTCAGTTAAAGATAAGGTTCAATTAAATATTAGGTTTCTAGCTGCACAATCCTAGTGTTTAGGAGGCGGGGAATCACTGAGAAACTCAGTTTTGTGTGTGTGGTGTTTTTTTGTATCATATAAAAAATATTTTTGTTGGCATCCAAGCTGGGAGAGTCTGTCTTCTCTACATAGGACATTTCTCAAAACAGGCATCACCCATCCTTTGTATCTTTCAATGTCAGTCTTGACTCTCTCATCTATAATCAGCTCCTAAATTGTGCCGGTCTTCCTTGGCCTCTCTATTAACTCCTTATGAAGTTGGCAGGTAGTAGATCCCGAGGAACTGTCGCCCCCATGGCCACGGTCCCTCCCATCGTATCACTGTCAGGTCAAACAAGGATTGCTCTGTCCTTGCTACTCAGCGTGTGGACCACTGAGCAGCAGCTTTGCTGAGGAGCTTATTATAAATGCAGAATCTGAGGCCCCGCCCTGGACATGCTGAATCAGAACCTGCATTTTGCAAGATCCTAGGGTGAGTTGTGTGCACATTGAAGTGGGAGAAGGACTGGGCCATCGTGAATAATAACTGAACAATAATAGTAAATACATATTAATTTTGTTATGCCTCTCATACCAGGCTAAGGGCTTCTAACGCTTTATTTTCACTAGAATGTAAACTTTATGAGAATAGATTCTTTGATTTTTTTTTTCCAATGCAGTATCACCAATGCCAAGAACAGCGCCTGGCTCATGGGACGTGTGAGTAAATGCATTTCAGTTCCTTGCGATCTCTCAACAGCCCTGTGAGGTTGCCATTACATCTTTCCAATCTCTAATAGAAGAAACTGAGGCTTGAGAATTTCATAACTTAGCAATTTTTTTCTTTCATAAATAGTAAGCAGTAAAGAGAGGTCTCAAACCCAGGTCTATAAACCTCCAAACCCAAGTTCTTAGCTGCAAGCTACTTTTAAAGTAGACGTTTTCCCCTAAGTTAACTATTCACCAGATCTACTTATTTTGATACAATCAAGCCCCTATTTTAGGGTAGTTTAAACCAGAGGTTCCATATTTTTCTGTTCTGGGACATTACCACTCTAATCCTCCCGGCCGCCTGGAATGCTGGGAAGAGCACAGGCCTGGTGCCAGGCAGAACCGCCCTCAGTTCCTTTGCCACCGATTGTGTGACCACAGGAAAGTACCCAATTTTTCTGACTTTAGGTACCTCATGAGTAAAACAGTGATATTACTGTTTGTTTCCCAATGTTGTAAGACACAAGCAATTTATGTAAGGTGCTCTGTAAGTGATGGCTTTTAGTATTATGGTATGTTTTAAAGGCACAAGAACAATTGAATTTTACTTTTCACCCAGTTTTGCATGGGAGCTTCTGAAGTCTGTAAGACATGATACGGCAGCACTAGGACCTCTCCCACGCAGTAGACTGCATCCTGCTCCTATAAACAGGGGTGCTGACAGCCCCCCAGGGAGCTGAGAATTACAAGGATTGATGCACACACAGGGCTTTGAATAGTCTGACACAGAGTGCACTTGATCGCCGTTAGCTCTCGCCGTCAGCTCTCACTGTCACCGTCATTATTCTTACTATCTGTCCCAACCTGTTCCGAAAGTCACTTCTCTGCACCTGCATTTCCTAGTTTGGAAAATGAAGGTCACAGAGTAGACAAATCTAGAGAAGCTTTGCAATCTAAAAATCTCTGATTGCAGGACTAGATGTCAACTGAGCTGATGTTAGCAGTTCTCTAGTTGGAGGTGAGGGTTGAAAAGGTGGCAAGAGCCTCTGGTAGGTAGCATGACCTGGCTTGGGAGTATGAAAGTGCCACTTCAACCAGGGCACGTGCTTGGGCCTCCGCCCATGCCTCAGGGGTCGCCTGCACTTTGTGTCTTTTTCCAAGATGGAGAAACTGGGGACAATTCTAACTGCACAGGGCTCCTCAGCCCAGTCCTCAGTGATCTCACAGTCATTGCCAATAGGTGACATTCTCTAGCCAGAGGCCCTGCTCCATGGCAATGGCCTGCCTACTCAAGGAAGAGGACCCATTATAGTTTTCCTTCCTTCCTCCTAAGACTTGCTGGATCTATAGAAAAGATTTGGACATCCAAAGGACACTTTACCTGAAATAGCAAAGCCACTAAACCCCACAGCCAGCACCAGAAAGGAGATAGCCACCCCTTTGGTATGGGAAAAGCCAACCACCAGGAGTAAGGTTGCCTCCATGCCAAAACCTGCGAATGGAAAAACCAAGGGGGGGAAATGTCATTGTCATGTCACTCAGCCCAAGTTCATGAACTTATTACATAAGAATCTATTAATATTTCCATGGACCTAATGTTTAGCACATACATTCTGACACAGTGCTTACAAATATTACCCAGGTGTTTCTTGACTACATGACTATGCTACTGTTGCCCAGGTGACTATGCTGTTACCCAGGTGACTATGCTACTGTTGCCCAGGTGACTATGCTGTTACCCAGGTGACTATGCTACTGTTGCCCAGGTGACTATGCTTCTGTTACCCAGGTGACTATGCTACTGTTGCCCAGGTGACTATGCTTCTGTTACCCAGGTGACTATGCTACTGTTGCCCAGGTGTTCTTTGAGCCTTCTGACATTATCTATGCTTCTGTTGCCCAGGTGACTATGCTTCTGTTACCCAGGTAACTATGCTACTGTTGCCCAGGTGTTCTGTGAGCCTTCTGACATTATCCTGGTGCACCTTGAACACTAAATGGTCCAGCAGATTCCAATGAAGCCCCTGGGATGAGAGATGTTTATCATCAGTTGCTTCATGGGTAGTTGCCCCTGCAAATTCTAATACTAAAACTCTCCTTTATACTGCGAGTGAGTCCCCTTTGTTTACATGTTATGGCCTCTCACAGAAAAATAAAATGACCACACTTTAATATTTATTGCCAAAAGTGACCTTCTATAGAGAATAGCTGAAACAAAAAGCATAAAGCGAAAGTCTTCCCTTTCAGTTCACCAAACTCTGGGGCCTCAAAAGTCATGTGATATTCGCACCGAAAATACAGTGGGATAGAAGTGTTTTCTGTGCTTGTCATTCAGGATAAATGACTCCAGCACAGCAAAAAAGGACTAGGAAATTCTGAAGATGCTCCTCTGGCAATACACACACACACACACACACAGCCAACAGCAGACAGAAGAATGGTGACTTAAGTGCCATTTCCGGTATAAACATGCCCTAGGAAATGGGAGACAAGGATACATCATTCTCAAGACTGCTTATTCCAGACATCTCCACAAGACTGTCCATGGGTCCTTCAAAGCCAACATCCCCAAGTCAAGTCCTGTTCTCCTATTTCTTACTCATAAACCAACAAAGCAAACCATCACTCTTTCTTCTGCTCTAAATTAATCTTCTATCCACCTGTGTTTAGAACCCAGACTTAGAGTCAGACAGGGCTAGGTTCAGATTTCACCTCAAAACCACCCATTATGTGACCTTGGACAAGTGACTTCACCTCTCAGATTCCTTATCCAAAAAAGGGAGCTGATAACACAACCTTACAGGGCACCGGAAGATTGAATGAAATTGGGAATTTAAGGTAGTGAGCACAGTCCCTGGCACATGGGCACGGCTCAAAACATGGTAACCAAAAATCTAACACAGAAATCTCAAAAACTCCCTCTTTCTCGGCGTTTCCATAAGAATCTGTGGGGTCAGTCTCAGAAATATCTGTCAAAATCAACCTCGCCCTCTCCTCCTCTGCTGCTGTCCTAGGCCTGGGCCCCATCACCATCACCTGGACAACTTCAATAGACTCTTTACTGGTCTTCCCATCCCTTCCTCCTCTGCTCCATTTTCCACATCACTCTTTCTAAACCACAGGTCTAACCAGTTGTCCCTTTGCTGAAAACTGTTGTCAAGGGTCCACAGTAATAGTATAGTGTTATTTGGTAAGTCCCTCCTGATGTTCCTGTCTCATCCTCTGCTAGCCACCTTCCAGCTCACCATTGAGCCCATATAGCACCCTCTGCTGTAGTCCCACAGCGCTTCCTGCTATTTCCTAGAGACAACACTGTTTATGCCTATATGTATTTTCACCCACTGTTCCTTCACCTGGGATACTCTTCTCCCACCACTTATTTCTCTTTTTCTGGAGAAATGGTATCCTTTAAAGTCCAGTTCAAATATTACTTCCTCTAGAAAGCTTTCCTGACAACCCTGCCTTCACCCCCCAGTGAAGCTAACACCTCCTTCTTCTTACTCATAGAACTTTTCAACATTGCCTGGTATGAGTTTTCATCTGTGTTTCTGCCTCCTCAACTAAACTGTGATATTTTCCAGGAAAGGTACTGTATATATAGTACAGTACCTGCTGGGGGATGGACTTAGGGGCTTTTAACATCCTTTCCAGTGATTAGACATAACCTCCAAGATATACTCTGCAGTTCAATTTCATCTCTTTCTAGAAAAGCTGCTTAAACCGCATATGAAATCCATAGTACCTCCGCAGTTCATGATTTTTCTGACAGCAGTTGTGGTCAAAATTTGTCTGCTTCTTAAATAATCTGCCAGTTGTCCTCCAACAGGCACAATGATGGTCATAACCATGTGTGGGAGTGCCGACAAGAGCCCCACCTGGATGGAAAAGAAAACCAATGAGCTATTTTTAGCTGCTTTCTCCAGATGTACTGATTCCCTGTTCCCACCAGCTACCCTGCCTACCACCATCACCACTAAATTTAATCATCTGCTTAAATGGGACCCAGGTAGGCCTGAATTCTGTAATAAATAAACAATGAATGAGTGAATGATGATAAGAGTAGGCCTAATTGTCTCCTCTAGCAGATTGGAAGCTCCTAAGAGCAGAAGTGACTGATACATCATAGAGACCCCACCACCCAGCATAAGGCCTGGTACATGGTAGTTAAACACTTGGCACAGAGTGAATGTTCATGATGGCACCTACTTAGCTCTTCCCTGGTCACCTCAGACAGTACCTGGAGCTACACAGACATCTATCCCTACTAGGCTGCTGTTCTTCCCTTGTAGGAAGGGGGCTTAATTCCTTTCTTTCCCTTTTTATTAGATTTATTGGGGTGACTTTGGTTAATATGATCAAACTAGAGGCCCGGTGCATGAAATTTGTGCATGGGGAGGGGGGGCGCCTAAACCGGCAGTTGGACTTCCTCTCGCAATCCGGACCACTGGCTCCCTAACCACTCACCTGCCTGCTGCCGGCCTGATCGCCCCCTAACTGCCCCCTGCAGCTGATCGCCCCTAACTTGCCCCCCTGCCAGCCTGATTGACCCTACCTTGCCCCCCTGCTGGCCTGATCAACCCTAACTTGCTCCCCTGCCAGCCTGATCACTCCTACCTTGCCCCCCTGCAGGCCTGATCACCCCTAACCACCTCTGCCTCCCTCTGCAGGAGGCAACCTGGCAGGTTAGGGGAAGGTGCCGCCCCCATTACCCCGCTGCTGCTGCCATTGCAAGCCTGAGCCTGGGCCGTTCACAGCCGCCCATGGCTGCCTGAGCCTCAGCTCTAACAGCCACTGCAGCTTTGTCCAAAGGACATCTGGAAGGTTGTCCGGAAGACATCCGCCCTAACTAGCATATTCCCCTTTTATTAGTATAGATAGTTTTCAGGTGTAGATTTCTATATTACAAAATCTGTATATTGCACAGTCAAATGTTCTCCCATCACCATATACTAGTATTATAACAATTCTTTTATGATGATGGTTTAAGTTTCACCATTCATACCCTTCCTCCATGAAATACAGGCAACCTAATGACTGGGAAACATTTAAAACAGCTTGTAAACAAGGCCTTGGTCATTATTATCATAACCACCATAATGGAGATAGGAATGGTCTGCAAAAAAGCTTTAAAAGCAGCTTGTCACAGCTCTGATCCTTGCTATGAAGAAATTAAATAACTATGTATACTATGCACAGAATGTATGACTTGTCTGACTTCCAGGGCATTAGGTATTATACAACTGTTATAAATGATGATAAGCAATTTAATTACTTTACCATGCAAAGATTTTCTTAGTAGAAGCAAGAGATTTAAAGTTCGAGAACATTTGAAGCATCTATGTGTTTACCTTACTTATTGCAAATCCAAAGACCTCTTCAAAATAAGCAGGCTGACTTATTAACAGCAAATAAAAGGTCCAGCTTCTGCAAAAATTTGCCACAATGATTGCATAAACCGGCAATGATGTGAAAAATTTTTTCCATGGTGTATTAAATTTCTAGAGAGTAAAAATACCATGAGATTTTTATATTTAGGGAAATATATTGACATGTCACTTTTCTTCTTTTATCTATCAATTAAAGCTGATATTCAATATTATATTATATTAGTTTCATGGATACAGCGTAGGAGTTAGACATTTATATAATTTGCAAAGTGCTCCCCTAATAAGTCTAGTCCCCAACCAGCACCATACCTAATTATTACAATATTATTGACTATATTTTCTATGCTGTATTTTACATCCCCATGACTATTTTGTAACTACCAATTTGTACTTTTTAATCCCTTCATCTTTTCCATCCAGTCCCTCAAACTCCCACCCCCCACCACCGAGCAACCATCAGTTGACATGTTATTTTTCTTAAAAGGACAACACAATCACTAAGAGAAATACTCATAGAGAAGAGAGAGGCAAGTCTTCATCTATCCATCGAGACTTACACTTAGGCTAACCACGTTGGCTCCTTCTCCAATACTTGTCTCTATGTAGGTTCTCTCCTCCTGGGATATTGTTGGGTGAGCTGCCGGGCACTCATAGGCCTGCAACAGCCAAAACATGTACCAAATAATGCCAAACATACCTAAAACAAAAGGTTAAAACAGTTAAAAAACCAAAGGTTTGATGATATGGTCACATTCTCTTCCATCTCTAAATTTTCCCATTTTCAAAATATTCCCAAACAATATTATGTTCAGCTAGGAGAAAGTATTTTGTTGTTATTCACTGGTATTTGAAGAAAGAAACTCAGGTTTACTATAAATGTTAAATGAATCCTAGGTAGCCAAGTATTCCTTGATATCATATCGTAAACTCTCAGTCTATCCCATTACACAGTAAAATACCATCTCTATGAGTCACCCATGGGAACTCATGAAGTCAAATCACTCACCATAAATATAAAAGACGGAGGCCCAGCCAATGTACTGTACCAACACCCCCGCCAGGGGCATGGCGATCACTGCCCCCGCATAGGAACCTAGAACAAGGAAAGATGGAGGGATACTTAGCGATCTCATGCAAGCCCTCTCAACCCATTTGGAGTTCATGTGGTTGAGGATGAACCAAACTGAGCAGGAGTCAGAAGGCCTTTGTGCAGAGGGACAGGCAACTCCCAGTGTGCCTGAGCCCAGGGCTCCCAGGAGAGAAAGGCCACAAGGATGCCCTTGAACTTCACCCAGGTACCATGGAGAAATTAGATAAAGATTGCTCAGGCACAGCAATGTGAAACTGATGACAGGGTGGAATAAAAAGATGAGAAAAAATCTGAGGGAACTTAAGAAAAATTCAACCAGGCATAATATTGGGTGCTGAAGAAAGCAAGCGAAGAAACATGGATCTGCCTTCCAGAGCTCACAGTTGAGAAGGATTATCAAAGGTCTTTAAATAAGGAACTGCAAACTATTCAAGGATCATGATTTTTTTAGAGTCTTAATTTTTTTTTAATCAGGGAACAGTTTAATGGCAGGATGACCGGCATGGATGCTGTCTCCACCCACCTCCTGGATGAGTCAATTTTTAGGTTTATTTCTTACTCTGTAAATCCTTCACCTGGTAAATACTTACCTGTGTGTGGATGTTTATCTTGTCTAGACAAGATAATGAGGGCAGAGGCAGTGCCCTGGCCTCCGCTATCTCCGGCAGCTCCCTAACATCTGCTGGAGAAACATGAGCCCTGCAAACTCCCAATAAATACTAACTGAATAAAAGAAATAGCTATCTGAAATTCCCTCTGGGTCGTGAACGAAAAAATATCTTGCTTCAGAAAAAGTGAGCAGCGAAAGGCAATTCTGTATCCCAGAGGGCAATGCTGAGGAAGACCTTCAGGCGATGGGGGTTTAGGAGGAGGAGGTGAAATCCCATCTTTCTAAGCTGGGCCAGGCTGGTTGTGAAAGGCCCAACCCCGAATCCCAGATCTGGACATCATGGCACTGAGGAGGTCTCTCCATCCCTCTGAACCATTTTCCTCAGACAGAAGATGGGAGAAATCTCTACATCACGCGGCTGACTTGGGGAGAAAATGAACCATGTACGTAGAGATGTTTGGTAAGTCATAGTTAGTGATGCATAAACGCCAACTAAAACTGCTCTGTCACATACAGAATGATGGCACACTTTTTTCTTTTGCCTCGGACTTCCTCAAAGCAATAAGGCAAGCATTCCTGGGCATCCCAGAAAGAGCTGCACCCGACTCCGCTGTGTGTGTGTGGAGAAGACCCAATACCCTGGGGGTGGGGGTGGAGGCTCCTGTTTAGCTGATGCAGAGAAATGCCCGGACAGGGAGGGTCAGGGGATGACCAGCAACTAAGATGCATTGGGTGCTGTCTGTGTGCCCAGCGAGATGCTCGGTATTCTGAACCCGTGATTTTACTTAACCCTCTTTTCAACCCGACAAAGGTGGTACCAATATCACCCCCATTTTACAAGAAGGAAACTAAGGCTGGAGGAGGGAGGTAGGTTGCGTGAGGTTGCACAGGTGTCAGTGACAGCAAGCCAGGTCTGTCGGAATCCAAAGCCTTTACCCTGAGCTACTTAATAATCCAGGCCTGCCTCCCCCACTTAGAAATGCCCTGTAATTCCTCATAGTAAGAAGCATTATTTCATCCAGGGAATTTTATAACTTGAAGCTGTCCTTCTTCCCTGTCTACTACACAAACTCTTCCTCATCCTTCCGGACATGGCTGCATGTAAGCTCCTATCACACTGACCCACAGCCCCTAGCACACCCAATAGGCACTTTACCCTTATTGCAGGGGAGCTGGCTATGCCTCCACCCATCGGTGCGCTCACCACAGAGGACAGAGGAGCCCTCGAATGCTTGCTGAATGGCGTGGAGAGTGGGGAATGGCTGCATTGGGGTGGGAGGGTCCCCAGTTCTGTCCTCACTAGTTGTAAAAGTTTATATTTTTTTCCTCCCTCACCCTTTGTTTCCTCTCTAACAATGGCTGCAATTAGATGTTTTCTAAAGTCCCTTCTAACTCCAATATTTTTTAAGTATAAGCACCTTTTAGACCCCAAGCCTGGGTCTCCTCCTAATGGCATTTTGCCTTGGCCGTTCTTCGAAACCAAGGCCACACCTTAGCTGGAAAGGTAATAAAGCCTGTGACTTTGATCACCTACCTTCCTGTGAGAGTCAAACCTCTTCTGAAAGACACTAAGCATGAGGAGTGGCACTAGTCATACTTGTTTTGCTGGCAAATCAAAATGCAAAGCCTCACAAGTAAACCATGCAAGGAAAATTAGGTCCAGGACCTGACAATTCACAAGATTGGCTGGGGCAGTATATTCTACATGAGTTAGTATAAGGTCAGCAGTGTGGGTAGAAATGATCTTGGACGGCAAACAAGAGGACAGAAGTGGTTTCTGAAGACAAGAGAAGCTAAAGATGACAGGACATCTCAGTGGTGCCTGCAGTTCCAAACTGGGCACAAAATGGGCCCATTGGTGAGTATGTCACACTGACTGCCAGGGATGATGATGATGATGATGATGATTGAAGGAGATAAAGAGGAAGAACGAGGGAGAAATACAAATATTCACAGAAATAAAGAGGAAGCTTTATTTCTCCTTTAGCATACGCACAGGTTAGCTTCTCTTAGGAAAGGCACGTTAGCTTGAAAAATTCTGATCCTAATTCTGCCTAGGCCCCATTGTGACTTTTGCCACCTAAGGCATTTTTGTCTTCCTGAGCCCTCCCCGGCTAAAAAAAAAATATTTTTTAATATATTTCACAACTGTGTTGATTGATACCTAAAAGGAACTTATGATCCTAACACACTTACCACAAAAAGAGGTCGTGGCCAGTCGGCTTCTCTCCAAAGGTGGCGCCCACTTACTCCACATCCCGTGGCAGGCTGGGTAGGTCACACCCTGCCAAAATGGTTGAAAATAGATTATTTGATTTGACTCCAGTTTCTGTTTGTCTTTAAAATATGGATCCTGATTCTTTAATAATGGCTACAATATAAAAGCCCAATTCATAGACATGAAATAGCATGTGTCAGCTATTTTGACTGACAGCACAGATCTGAATACCAATTCAAAGGTAAGCACGGTGGAGAATGGGGGAGGAGGTCTTTATATTTCATATTATACAGAATATCACTATAGAAAGGGACTTGCCAGAAAGAAAGAAAGAAAGAAAGAAAGAAAGAAAGAAAGAAAGAAAGAAAGAAAGAAAGAAAGAAAGAAAGAAGGAAAGAAAAGAGAGAGAGAGAGGAAGGAAGGAAGGAAGGAAGGAAGGAAGGAAGGAAGGAAAGAAAGAAAGAAAGAAAGAAAGAAAGAAAGAAAGAAAGAAAGAAAGAAAGAAAGAAAGAAAGGAAGGAAGGAAGGAAGGAAGGAAGGAAGAAAAGGACTTCTGAGCCCTGGACAGGTAGCTCAGTTGGTTAGAGCATCATCCCCAATATGCCAAGATTGAAGATTTGATCCCCATCAGGGCACATACAAGAAAGAGCCAACGAATGCCTAAATAAGTGGAACAACAAATCAATGTCTCTCTCTATCTCTCAAATCAATTTTTTAAAAGGTCTCCTTAAAAAAAAAACTACTTTTCCATGGCTTTAACTACCACCTATGATGTTTGATTACTCTCAAATCTTGAAAGAAAGAAAGAAAGAAAGAAAGAAAGAAAGAAAGAAAGAAAGAAAGAAAGAAAGAAAGAAAGAAAGGAAGGAAGGAAGGAAGGAAGGAAGGAAGGAAGGAAGAAAGAAAGAAAGAAAGAAAGAAAGAAAGAAAGAAAGAAAGAAAGAAAGAAAGAAGAAAAGGACTTCCGTAATCACCTGGTGCATCCTCTCATTTTAAGTTACAGAATCTGAGGCTCAGAGCCATTATGTAAGTAGACTCTAGTCTTCATGGCTGCAATATTATGTTCTTCCCATCAAACCAGTATTTTTGGAAATGTGGTATATATCCTTCTAGTAAGACTAGAGTTGGGACTAGTGGAGCTAGTGCTACAACAACCTACATTTTTAAATATAATTGTGGCATATATATATATATTCTAATACACCTCAGAAAATAAGTAACTAGCACTTCATACTCCTGATTTCAAAGAATTGTTATGGACTGTCCAACCTATGAGGGAAGGTGTGGGGGGGGGGGGGGTAAGAGATCAACCAAAGGACTTGTATGCATGCATATGAGCATAATCAATGGACACAGAGGGGGTAGGGATGTGCTGGGGGAGGTGGCTGGGGAGAGGTCAATGGGGGAAAAAGGAGACTTATGTAATACGTTAAACAATAAAGAATTAAAAAATTTTTTTAAAGAGAATTGTTATGATGAGGTACTTTGTTTTTATGTTTTTTGGAACACTTGTTAACATTGGCTCCAGCTACCTTTGCACTATTATGGCAGAGTTGAGGAGTTGGCCAAGTCCTCTGGCTATATCATGCTACTTCCTTCATCGAGTTAAATCTCTTTGTAAAATACACTCTTAAAACTTTACAGATTTATTAATAAATCCATTTAAATTGCATCAGTGGGAAGAGCCCTTGCTATGTTTAGGGCTTCAGTTTCATCATTTATTAAACAAAAAGGGTTGGATCAGGTTATCTCCAGGATCGTTCCTTTCTCATCTAAAATTCCACACTCTATGAAATGGTCGTTTATTGTGTTTAAATGAAAGTGTTCATAATGGTAGTCATAGTCAGTGAGTTGAGACAGCAAAACAAGGCGGAAGATAGGAAAACTGAGTAGAGGGAGTTTCCTTCAGAAGCTGATTTTCCTAAAGGACCATGTTGTCTCCAGCAAAACATTGAAAACTGTGAGAGGAAGAATCTCCTACCTCCACCAGACCTTGCAAAATCCTGACACACATGACGCAGCCGTAATGCACTCTGGCTGCAGAAGGAATGAACATGTTCAAGGTCGACGTTAGGAAGATGGCGGCTCCAAAGACCCTGAGGGACCAAAAAACTGTGTTAGTGGGCAGGCCTGCGCACGGATGTGGCACTGCAGTTAAACATCAGAAACGAAAAATCAGTTCATGGAGGACCACTTTGGGAATTAACAGAAAGAAAAATAAATGTGTTACAGTCTAGTGTGTCCCAAACTAGACTGCTGGGCTGCCGGAAGTCAATTCCAGCATGACAGCAGGGTTGAATCTGGGAATGGCTGATGGCATTTCCCCAAACCTGAACAGGATACATTAAATTGATGGTTGGCTGCCGGACAGCACAGGGCATCTTAATCTACATGTTATTGCCTCCTACTGGCCAAATACCTGAACAGCCGTAGGCTAATTCTTCCATTCTGACAATGGACTCTGTATGAAACCCTGACCCTTTGAAGTGTATATCTCTGCCTCCCCTCAGGACAATTTGTGTTAATAAAAAGCATGGGGTCCTGAGACGAGGAGATCTTAGATCAGTGATGGCGAACCTTTTGAGCTCGGCGTGTCAGCATTTTGAAAAACCCTAACTTAACTCTGGTGCCGTGTCACATATAGAAATTTTTTGATATTTGCAACCATAGTAAAACAAAGATTTATATTTTTGATATTTATTTTATATATTTAAATGCCATTTAACAAAGAAAAATCAACCAAAAAAATGAGTGTCACCTCTGACACGCGTGTCATACATTCGCCATCACTGTCTTAGATCTTAGTTTCCTTTAAACTAGGCTCCTCTGACCCCCAAATGCCTTTCAAAAGTATGCTTCGTCTCTGGACTCCTATTTAATCTACGCACAGCTTTCTCCAGATTGCTGAGCCCTTCTAGATGCTGGAACAAGAACCCCAGCACTGGGCTGCTTTGATTCCCAAGCTCCAATCCCCAGACCAATCAGGGGCATGTGTTTAGCAATACAAGGATGTCCTGCCTGGATGAGGTCCTGATGCTGGAGACTGACCCGCATGTGGTGGGCTTGCTGGAGACCCACCACTCTGCTTGGTTCCACACAGCGGACCCATTCTGACCAATAGCTGGTGACTTGTGCACATTTGGGTGGTGTCTCCTGCTGCACAATTCTGCTCTCACGTTACCAGGAGGGGATAGAGACGATCTGAGAAGCATGCCGTGACGTGGGACCAGCCAAGCACAAGACAGGCTGTGTACCTGTCTCAGCCCCCGACTCTCTGCCCTGTGCCACTTGCCTTCTCCTCCCTGCCTTGACCAGCGTGGAAGAAAGCAGACAGCAATTTCTTCCTTTCTCACACCTGTTAATGATACTTCAGCCCATTTTATAGGCTGGGAAATTATGTATGATTTATTTTAGGGCAGAAATATGAGCAGTAACCCCAGGGGTCATAGGAGCCAATATTTTATCACTTTTTAAAAAGAGTATAATAGGTAAGTGACAATAAAAAGGGACACAAATTAGACAAGAATATAAGTAAATACAGTCTTGCTTATATATATTTAGATTCTATGATAGTGACTTTCAAACTTGTTTTTACCTTGGCCCATAAAACAAAATATATTTTCTACTGCAACCTAATACATATTCATACACACAAATGTAGCCAAAACAAGTTTTAAAAACCAAAACTTAAATGTACAATGAGCTAAGACATTTTATGCTATTTTATTCTATTTAATTATCTCCTCTCTCTCCCTCTCTCTCTCTTTAGAAAATGTTTCTCTCTCTTTAGAAAATGCTCATTGGTAAATTATTATATTGATTTTATACTATCTAAAGCAGTGGTGTTTTAGAATTTGAAATGCACTGCTTTATAAAATGCATATTTCACAAAATCCATGTACGTGAAGTCACACAGGACACACAATTGGAAGGGGCCTGGGGCATTCAGCACGCTCCTTTATGGTGCATATACACCCTCCCCCCGCCTCCCAGTGGCCATCCCCTTCTGCTGGAATCCCTCCAGTAACAGAACTCACTGCTCCTCGTGGCACCGCATTCTGGCTTGGCTACTTTTAGTTGTTCAAACACCTGCTATTGAATATCAAGGGCATTAAAGACATCTTACAATCTAGAGGCTAGTCCAGCCGTGGGCAAACTACGGGGATCCGGCCCGTTTGAAATGAATAAAACTAAAAAAAAAAAAAGACCGTACCCTTTTATGTAATGATGTTTACTTTGAATTTATATTAGTTCACACAAACACTCCATCCATGCTTTTGTTCCGGCCCTCCGGTCCAGTTTAAGAACCCATTGTGGCCCTCGAGTCAAAAAGTTTGCCCACCCCTGGGCTAGTCCCTACTCACATGACAAAACCTGTAGGGTACATGACGATGTTTACACAGGATCACAGAATGTCATGGGTCAAAGGGAACCCAAACACAATCTAACCCATGCTCCATTTCACAGGTGTGGAAACTGAGGCCCAGAGAAGGAGGGAAGGTGACTCAGTAGAGGGCACCAAGTGAGTGACTCAGAGTCAATTTTTTTTACTACATAATCACTTGAAGTATTGCAAGATAAATGAGATTCAGTAAAAAGAGATTCTGAAGAACGGGACCATATGGGATTGATATCTGCGAGTCACCTCTGTTGGAATGGCTCCTGTCTTTCACTCTGTACCCCCACATTGAGAGCCAGCTCTGCAGACTTGGTAGAAGTGCAAAGCCTGCTATGATCTGTGCAGCACTCATGTCATATCGGTTTATCTTACCTGTTAGCAGCAAACTTGTTTGAAATGAAACCACCTGGAATTTGGGTCACAATATAACCCCAGAAAAAAGAGCCATGGATAAAGCCCACCGTCTCTGGATCCCAGTTAAACTGTGCTATCTGAAAGTGAGAAATCAGATACAGTTATGTTTGTAAGAAAACACTTGCCCACCATTTTTCACTGAGGATCCTACACAATAACCCCACTAACCCCACGAGTTCCTTCTTTCTTTTGCTCATTCAATAATTTTTTATGGAGGGCCCTTGTGTGCTTAGGATATAGCAGTGATCACAAAAAAGTAGCTACTCTCAGGGAGTTCAGCTTGTAGTGAGAGACTGTATGAATTTACACATATGTATACAGTGGGACCTTGACTTACGAGTTTAATTTGTTCTGTGACGGAGCTCGTAACTCAAATTACTCGTATGTCAAATCAAAAAGTGAACGAGTGAGACACGTGATGCTGGGCTGATGTTGTGGCATTCACTGTGACGTTCGCTGTGCCAACTAGCGGTGGGGTATCTGAAGCTGGCTCGTAATCCGAATTTTAGCTCGCAACTCAAAGCAAAAAATCGGCCGAGAGACGGCTCGTATCTCGAAAAACTCGTTAGTCTGGACACTCGTAAGTCAAGGCCCCACTGTATATGATATATATATGTAGATATATATATATACCAAATATATTATATATACCAAATATATACACCATCATATATTATTATATACATGCATATATACCATTTACCTGAGCCCCCTTAGAATCATAATAACCTCCAATATGAACCATTAGCATAAGCCAAGCACTGTGTCAGGCACTGTGTTAGGCTGTAAACATGGTCCCCAAGAGGCAGACACACAAAATCCCTGGAACCTATGAATGCTGTCTTATTGGGAAAAGGTTTTTGCTGGCGTAATAAAGTCAAGGATCTGGAGATGAGTTTTCCTGGATTATCCAGCTGGGCCCTAAATCCTATGACAAGCATCCTTATAAGAGAAAGGAGATCTGAGACAGATAGGAAAAGGCCATGTGAAGACAGGCAGAGACTGGAGCAATGCTGCCCGGAGCCAAGGAATGCCTGGAGCCACCAGAAGCTGGGAGAGGCCAGGAAGGGTCCTCCCCTGGAGCCTTCGGAGGGAGCACCGCCCTGCAGACACCTTGATTTTGGACTTCTGGTCTCCACAAGAGAAACAATTTCCCTTGTTTTAAGCCACCCTGTTTGTGGTCATTTATCATGGCAGCCTTAGGAAACGAATATAGGTACTTAATATATTAGTAACAAATTTGATCTACAAAGTAGGTTTTTTTTATCCCCATTTCATAATAAGGGAAATGAAAGTTAGCAAATAATTCTATCTTCCTGCTCACATTTTTATTTTTTCAATTACAGTTTACATTCAATATTATTTTGTATTAATTTCAGTTGTACAGAATAGTGGCTAGACAATCATATACTTTACAAAATGCCCCCCTCCCCCCAATATTTCCAGCTGGCCCCAGACAAATACATTATTATTGACTATATTCCCTAAGCCGTACTTTACGTCCCCATGACTATTCTGAAACTACCAATTCCTTCCAGGAGGATTCTCCCCTCCTCTCAGCACCCTGCGCCTCTCCCCTGCTGAGGACATCTGAATAGAGACAGGTAAGGCTGGACCCAGCCAGATAGCCTCTGTTTCTCTCTGTGATTTTCTCTCTATCTCTCTCTCTATCTCTATCTCTATCTCTATCTCTATCTCTATCTCTATCTCTATCTCTCTCTCTATCTCCCTCCCTCACTTCCTCCATACCTCCCTCCCTCTCCCTCTCCCTCTCCCTCTCCAATCTGAACCCAGAGATTCTAGTTAAATAGCACTGAACTGAAACAAGTCCCACTGGAGTCAGGGACAGTTACTAGTAAGTCACCTCCGTGGCAAGGCAAAGTCTCAAGGAATTCGGCTTTGGAGAGCAGTGAGAAACCATAGAAAAGGCAAGAAAACAGTCCATGGAGAGACCCCGAGGATGGAGCAGATTCAGAGAGAAGCAGAGGAGAGACCATGAGGAGTGAGCACGCTGGAGGCCTTAGCTACGGGGTTCCTGGCTCCCAGGAGGTCCAGCTCCGCTCTGCCTTCCTGGCGGTCCTCTGTTCACGCCTTGGAAACAGTTACATAAAGACTCCTTTCCTCCTCACAGTGGAGAACAGCCTGGATTTCAGTCCCACCGCAGGCTGGGCCCCCCTGTCCAGGGCACAGACCGGACAAACTTACACAGCAGCTCTGCTCTCTGCCCTCCACTTTCATGGGATCCCTGATAGCCTCTCATAATTCCCTTTTTGACTCGAACCGGTTTCACTGAATTTCTATTCTTTTGTAACCAGCAAACCCTTACCAGGACACAAGGGCAACTTGCTCAAGGCCTCAGAGCTAATAAACAAGAGTCAAGTTTGAAACCTGGTCTGGCCAATTCCAAAGTCCAGCCTCTAAACCAGCGGTTCTCAACCTGTGGGCCGCGACCCCTTTGGCAGTCGAACGACCCTTTCACAGGGGTCACCTAAGACCATCCTGCATATCAGATATTTACATTACGATTCATAACAGTAGCAACAATACAGTTATGAAGTAGCAACGAAAATAATTTTATGGTTGGGGTCACAACATGAGGAACTGTATTTAAAGGTCCAGAAGGTTGAGAACCACTGCTCTAAACCTTACAGCACTCATGATTCATGGGAAGGCATCTAGACTTTTCCTGAGGGTAGTGAGACATAATCGCCATTTCTCAAGCTTCCGTCATTTATTGCCTACCATATAGTAGATTCACACACTTTAAAACTCATAATTTTGGAACTGCGAATGATTATTCACACATCAGCTAAAATGACCTTTTATACCAGCAGTGGGATATATACCACATATTTGCAAGACCTATCTGTTCATACTGCTGAAGTCTCTCATGCTTTTGAAAATGAGGGTTTAAAGTGATCTCTGTGCAAAATATCTAGATTCCCCCCCGCCAAAAGGAAAAATCAAACAAAATTACCAGCCATTCATGGCCTTTATTAATACAATTAGTGGAATAGCTTTGCCATCAGGTTGAACAATGAGCTGATATCTAAGCTCTGTTCTGTTTGGATAAGAGAGAAACGGCCTACTACAGATGAGAGTTGGTTAGAGCTTCAAAATGCTACTCAACTTCTACTTTCGCGGCCAGTGAAATGATGTCAAGTATATTTTAGATCTTTTTTTTTTTTAAATATGTTTTATTGATTTTCTACAGAGAGGAAAGGAGAGGGATAGAAAGTTAGAAACATCGATGAGAGAGAAACACCGATCAGCTGCCTCCTGCACGCCCCCCACTGGGGATGTGCCCGCAACCAAGGTACATGCCCTTGACCGGAATCGAACCCAGGACCCCTGAGTCCGCAGGCTGACGCTCTATCCACTGAGCCAAACCGGTTCTGGCTATATTTTAGATCTTAATCAGTTTCTCTAAGACTCTAGAGCAGTGGTTCCCAACCTTCCTAATGCCGCGACCCTTTAATACAGTTTCTCATGTTGTGGTGACCCCCAACCATAAAATTATTTTCATTGCTACTTCATAACTGTAATTTTGCTACTGTTATGAATCTTAATGTAAATATCTGACATGCAGGATGTATTTTCATTGTTACAAATTGAACATAATCGCCCTAACCGGTTTGGCTCAGTGGATAGAGCATCGGCCTGCAGACTGAAGGGTCCCAGGTTCGATTCAGTCAAGGGCATGTACCTTGGTTGCGGGTGCATCCCCAGTAGGGGATGTGCAGGAGGCAGCTGATCGATGTTTCTCTCTCATCGATGTTTCTAACTCTCTATCCCTCTCCTGTCCTCTCTAAAAAAATCAATAAAATATATTTTTAAAAAAACAGATTGAACATAATTAAAGCATAGTGATTAATCACAAAAACAATATGTAATTATATGTGTTTTCCAATGGTCTTAGGCGACCCCTGTGAAAGGGTCGTTCGACCCCCAAAAGGGTCGCGACCCACAGGTTGAGAACCGCTGCTCTCGAGGGCAAAACCATAGAAACTACAGAGCACACACCAGAATTGGACACCAGCACTGGTCCTCGGGTTTATCAAAATGCCTTTTCCATGTGCCTCACAGCGGACTCTGTTGACCTAGGCATATCGTCTCAGGCAGCAAACAAAGGGACACCAGCCTTGCATTGTGATCTGGGCCTCGGCACACAGGGTTTAATTAGCTGGCCTTGCTCACAAAAGGCTGTGAGAAAGCATGTGATACACATCTGAAAGCTCACTCATGTTCATTACTCTTTATTTTTAAAATGTATGACATGCTCCCTACACCTCGACTGCCTGCCTCCCACCCCCCAATGAAAATAACCAAGGATATCCTTTAGAACAGGTTTAGCTGTGACATCAAAGGGGCGAGTTAGAAGAATCTCCGTGGAGCTCTTTTCTTCTAGCAGAAGAATCTCTTAGAAAAGGACTTGCGATGGCATGAATGGACCTGGAGAGCATTATGCTAAGTGGAATGAGCCAGTCAGAGGAAGACAAGTACCATAAGATTTCTCTTATATGTGGACTCTAATTAACAAAATAAACAAACAAAATAGAAACAGACTCATAGATACAGAGAACAGACTGACAGCTGTCAGAGGGGAGTGGGGTTGGGGTGAAAAAGGTGAGATGATTAAACCAACAAACATGAAAACTCACAGACACAAACAGTACGATGATTACCAGAGGGAAAGGGGGTGGGGAAGCTATGAGAGGGTAAATGGGGGATAAATGGTGACAGAAGGACAATTCACATTGGGTGGTGAACACACAACATAATACATCAATGTCATCCCAATAAATTCAATTAAAATTTAAAAAAGAAGCCTGCGGACCAACTAAAGGCTTCTTTTTAATGGATTGAAATCAACTTTTCCCAAATCAGTGCTTGGCAGGAACTGGTCCGGGTAATGCTAATAGATGCGGCATGAAGGAGGGCGTTCTGCAATCATGTCTGGGAAATACCGCATTCCACGGCCCCCTCGGGAGCTCCTCATAGAACACAGCGCAGTGAAGGCTCTCGTGTCACACTGCAGCGCCTTCTTCGCAGCACAGCCTACAGATCACTGACTGGCCAGACACCAGTGTGGGAAACTCTGGTCTAAATGTGTTGCCAACTGTGGGCGGGGACCTGACCAGACAACTATTAGATGCCTCTCCACGAATGGATGGATTTCCACTAGTCATTCCAATGCATGGGCTCAATACAAGGAAACGTGTATTTATTGGGTATCTGTTGGGCATACATTTTCATCTTTTTTCAATGATTCTTTAGGCCTCCCATTTAAGATATTAACCAATGAACTTGTATGCATATATGCATAACCCATGGACATAGACAATACTGTGGTGAAGGCCTTCGGGGGTGGGCAGGTGGAGGGAGTCAATGGGGGAAAGGGGGAGACATCTAAAATACTTTCAGCAATAAAGATAAAATAAAATAAAAATAAACAAAGGAGATTTTTGACTTTCCAGTGATTCATAAAAACAATGCTATTTAAGTCACATCAGAGTATGCTCGCTTGTGACTACAACAGCCTGGAACTGGGCCTCCTGCTTCCACTCACGTCAAATCCAACCCACCCTGACCACTGGCTAAACAGTGATCATTCTGGAGCACAGATCTGACAGCATCGCCTCTCCTTAAAGTCCATCTGTGACTTCCTACACGGTTTACCAGGCTTGACATGACCTGACCCCTTTTCCCTTGCTGCCTCCATCTCCTGATGCTCACCCCCAATCTACTCTCCTATGCGGTTCTCCCCCTGGAATCTGTGAATGGGGATCTGTGAACTGGTTGGGGTAAAAATCGGCATCTTTATTTCTACTAACTGCTGACTGAAATTTGGCATTTTCTGCAATTATGAATGTGGGCAACAAACCACAGTCGTATTCTCAGTACCTATGACGCTATTACTAGTGGGAATTATTGATATGTTCACATCTGCATGGCAATTGTTGCCACTATCTCAAACTACTGTTTATAGTTCAAATTCAAAAGTACACTGATTTTTAGACCCATTGCTAGATTTTGTCATCTGATGTGTTCATAAAGAAGCTCATAGGTTTCTGTATTGCAAATTTTATTTTCAAAGATTTTGATATCTATATTTTAACATTAGTTTCCTTTGTAATCTCATATATTTAGTTTTAAGAATTTAAAACATTATTTTTGACAAACGGTTCATAAGGCTCATAAGTCTTCACCAGGCTGCCAAGCATGACACAGAAAAGATGAACTCCTGTCTCAGTTCTAAACTCTTCATTCTCTCTCTCTCTCTCTCTCTCTCTCTCTCTCTCTCTCTCTCTTTTCCACTCCCCTCCCCCTACAGACTTGGACATATGATGTTCCTTTTCTTCAAAGATTCTTCTTTCTCCCCCACCAAAACCCTCTTTGTCAAATTCTTCCTCATCCTTCAGCTCCAGCCATCACTTTCTCTGGGAATTCGTTCACAATATCAAAGTCTGTACTAGGTCCCCTCCCCTGTATGATCCCGACCCTTCTGAACACTCCAACATAGCACCTAGATCCCCGAATTGTAATCGCTTGCTTGTCTCTCTCTGTAAGAACCAGGGCCCAGCCTGCGTTGTTCAGCATCTAATCACCTCGCATGCTGCCCGGCACATGGTAGCCACTCTACACTTTTGTCACATCAATGAACGAGATACAGTGCTTTCTTTCACGTAGCAAAATATTTGCACAGCTTTGGCCAAAAGAGCTCCCACCATAGACTGACCCTGACCTGAATTTCCGGTTTTCCATCAACGTAGATGGTGCTGTTGTTGACCATTTCCACGATGGCAACTCCGAGGTTGCACCGAATTCCGAAGGAAATGCAGAATCCCAGCCCGCTCATGATGGCAATGATGTACCGCTTGGGGACGCCACAGCACTGGCAGTCGCAGAGCGGGGCGCTCTGCCTGGGCGTCTGCACTGGCCTTCCTTCCTCATTCAGCTCAATGTCATTTGCTTCCTCGTTGGTCCCATCGATTTTTCTACAGTGGAAAAGGCATGGGCAGAGAAGAAAGGTCAGGAATAGAGAAAAACAAAATGCACTATTCACAAAGAAAAAAGTGTCCCAAGAGGGGACAAGGGAAACACAAAGAAGGGTGCAGCCTGCATTTTTTAATGTTATTACTGTTACCATCATCACTGTTCTTACTAAAATACATTGTAAAGGCTAAAATGACCGATATTCTGGATCCTGTGTTGCCCGTTGATAGGCATTAGGTCATTGCAATCTCATCACAACCCCACGAAGTAGGGAGTGTTATCTTGCCATTTTATAGATGAGGAAACTAAGTCATCCGAAATGGGATGCGGGCCCAAGACCAGAGACTGTGTCTCCAACAATGTGCTTCACTGGGTTTCCCAAACTGAGGGCCTGTCTACAAAATCCCCAGTCAGTGTTCCTCAAAACTGTCCAAGTCATGGAAAGCAGGAATAGGCTGAGACACAGTCACAGATCAGAGGAGACGATGGGGACAAGACGATTAAGTGCAATGTGGTATCTGCATTGGATCCGGGAACAGGAAAATTGACATCAGTGGAAAGAGTAATGAAACTTTAATACAGTGTGGAGTGTAATTAGTAATTCATCCATGATGGTGCCTTAGTTTTGACAAATGTGCCATAGTAATGGAAGCTGTGAACGTTAGTGGAAACCAAGTCAGGAGTATATAGAACATCTCTGTACTATCTCGGCAATGTTTCTGTGAGTCTAAAATTATTCCAAAACAAAAGCTTCCTTTTCTTAAAAAAACCAACACAAAACAGCAGAACTCCAGAGAAGGTGGAATTCTGAGCTTAGGTAGGTCTCTTACACCAAAGCTGAGATCCTGATAAGAAATGGTATCCTGAGAACCAGGATGAAAGGGTATCTGAGACTTGGGTTAGGAGATAGATGCACTTGAACATCCAATACCCTAAATTCCTCGGAACCCTCTGGACCTGCACAGGTGGCCACTTCTGCTTGGAAAGTATTGGTTCCACCTCTTTAAAGGGAAAGTATAAGTACTTACAAGGAGAGCAGAATCCCCCGCAGTCTCCCTTGGGGAAAGTCTTCAGTACTACAACGGATCAGGAGAAAAGCCCACACTTGCCTGAAGATCCAGAGGTTGCTGGCTACATTGTGGCCCAAATAACTCCCTAAACCTAAATGAGTGGTTAAATTTCAAGACAGCAAGTGGGAAGAGCAGATAGTTCGTTAGAGAGGTAGCATAGTGTCATGACTGACGATGGTGGGCAGAGAACATCTGGTCTGAAAGCCGCCTCTGCTACTTATAAGCTGTGTGACCTTGGGCAACTTACTTAACCTCTCTGTTCCTCAGCTTCCTCATCTGTAAAACTGTGATTGTAATTGGCCCTACCTCAAAGCACTGTTAAAACTAAATAAGTTCAGGCCCTGGCCGGTTTGGCTCAGTGGATAGAGCATCAGCCTGTGGACTGAAGGGTCCCAGGTTTGATTCTGGTAAAGGCCATGTACCTTGGTTGCAGGCACATCCCCAGTAGGGGGTGTGCAGGAGGCAGCTGATTGATGATTCTCTCTCACTGATGTTTCTAACTCTCTATCCCTCTCCCTTCCTCTCTGTAAAAAAATCAATAAAATATGTTTTAAAAAAAACTAAATAAGTTCATAGTAGTTGGACCATCGTGTTTGCTATTATCATTTATTACACATAAATAGAGGACACCCATATTGTCATTTAAGTTGGACAAATTTGTCTATCAATTTCTGGACATTAATTTCCCAAGTTGATGCCTTCTATGCCATGTGTTCCAATACTGGACAATAAGTGCATGCATCATCTTTCTTCCCACACTTCTAAAATATTATTGTCCCGTTAGCTGATGAAGTTGGTCAGCTGCTTCTCATCAATGACTGCTTTCAAGGAAGCCCACCAGTGCCTGACTGTATCAGCCTCACGTGGGAACTTTAAACACTTCCCTGTGCACCTGCCACGCCCTTGACCGTGAGCAACTCTCTGTGGTTCAAGAGGAACTCACGAATTCCACTTAGATGATGTTCTCAGTCTCAAACATTAACAGACATCTACAATGCATCTTGCATGCTAAGTTAGAAAGTCTGTATTTCTAACTTCCAAATGTTCTTATCCTTGTCCCTTACACAACAGGAAATCATGCTTTGTGATTTGTATTTTTTTACATTGGATTCTGTCCACTGGCTTAATGTGAAAAATCAACAAGGGAGGGAATGTCCACTATTAGATGCCAGGCTCTGGGAAAAACATTTTATATGTAATTATCTTTCAGACCCGAGGTTAACACCAAGTGCGTGGCAGAGCTGGTCCTGCTGGAGGAGCCCTAATTCTGGAGCCCAGCTCAAAGACCCCTAGAGCTGAGCATCGACTCAGATCCCTGGTCCATTAATGCCCTTGTTTCCTTCCTAGGCCAATAATTCCCCTGTAGGGATCACTGAAAAAAGGGGTCCGAATTTGTCTCTATTTTGGCTAAAGTCCTACAATTGTGAGGGCAATGCTAACATCCAGGGTGCATTTAGTGCACTCTCTATCCCAAGCACAGGGACTGTGATTGTTCCCAGATGCAGTTCTGAGAAAACTGTTCAGAGTCCGAAACACAGAGCTCGGTTCTAGGTTGAGGTCGCACAACTTGGAAATTAGTAATTTTGTTATATGCCTAAGTAAACCAGCTGGTAAACAAAAGGATTGTTAAGCGGCTCATCCACTCAAACAGCAAAACCTGCTCCGAAGAGAAGTCTCTTATTGAAAAAAAAAAGAAAACCAACAGAATTTCAAAATAACAATAAAAGTTGGAAAAGAAAATTCCTAAGGACTCTTTTCCAAGTATTTCATAAGCCAAGACAGAGAGTCTGGTGATTATAAATGGTGACCATGGTCCAAAGTCATGGTTTTCCTTCCTGACTGTGTCAGATTCCTTTGTCATCAGGTGATTGTGCCAGTGAAGCCACCGTGCATCCTGTCTGCATTTTTCATCAAATGAACTCCACCACGACAAGGTGCTACTGCAGGGGGAGCTCAACAGGAAGGACAAAACACTCTTAAGAGAACGGGTTATTTCAATCATGGCCTGTGTTTGGCAGGTTTCTCATGCTTTCACTAAACTAGGTTTTCATCTATACGTGATAATGGGGTCTGATTGGAAGCTTTTTGTTTTTAATCATTAAATTAATAAGGTGCCCAACCCAGTTCTCTGACTATGAAAGCTCATCAAGAGTGATTCAAGAGCCCAGCTGGTGTGGCTCAGTGGTTGAGCATCAACCTATGAACCAGGAGGTCACGGTTTGATTCCTGGGCAGGGCACATGCCCAGGTTGCAGGTTCGATCCCCAATGTGGGGCCTGGAGGAGGCAGCCAATCAATGATCCTCTCTCATCATTGGTGTTTCTCTCTCTCTCTCCCACTCCCTTCCTCTTTGAAATTAATATATATGCGTGTGTGTGTATATATATATATATATATATATATGCTTTTTTTAAAAAGAGTGACACAATAAAAAATGTAACACTCACAGGAGCCCCTGTGTTATAAAACACAAGAAGTGACATGAACCTCAGTGTGCCTAGACAAGTTACATGCTAATGTTTTTAAATTTAAGAGATAACATAGAAAAGTTAAAAGAGATACCTGGTGACATTTTCACTCACCATGATCAGAAATAATCATTCAAACACATAAAAATCTTAGCAAGAATATTTTTCACATTTTTTTATATCAGAGAGATTAAGGGAGTCATTTTACCTTGTACATGAGGACTGCTTACTAATTCATGAATAAAAACCTAGGAAGGCACTTACTATGTCTATAAAAAAACACCCCACAAATTATAATGTCACATCAATTCATTCACTTATAGTAAACTCTCCTTTCAATAATAATATATTTTAATTTTTTTAATATTGGTTTGTTTGTTTGGACCAAAACATTTAACTCACTGATAGTACTTAACATTTTCCACTGGAATCATGTGAGACTTTCTGCTTTAAAGAATACTAATTTCTTAAATTACCTTCTTCAAATTATTGTATAACTACACTTCTCTTTCACACAACCAGGAACCACTTCATATAGTTTATATGACAAGCTAAACAATTTGCAAATATCTTCTTTTCATTTACAGTAAAAAAATAAAGTAAAAATTTCTTAAAAATTATTTCAGCTCCAAGCATAACCATATTTTTCATTCCTACAGAATTAATATGAAGTGTCATTTCCCTAGGTCTTTCCTAATTCCATGCCAAGCACACGCTATATAAATCACCACGTCCAGTAAGTGCTAATCCTGCTGGATAAGCAGAACCCTATACTTTGGATGCATATTTCCCTCCCCAGGCACCGTCTGCTGGAGCTGGAAGGGGCGCCAGAGCCATCGAATCTGACCCACCTTCTCCTAATTAAAAACATGGCTTTAAAAACATTAAGCAAAATCCCTTAAGCATTGGCAATGCTCAGAAATAAACCTGAAGTTTGCATTCCAACTTTACCTTTGTAACATCCCCAACGAATCTCCCACGGCATTCTTCACTCCTTCCTTTCCAGGCTTCAGAATTTTTTCTTTGAAGGTATCCAATGCTTTGAAAGGCATTTTGAATGGGGGGACCCCTCGGAGCCGTTTAACAGTCAGTCTCAGAAACTGTCATCCTCCCTCATCTCCAGCGTGGGGACCGCTCTGCCTTCCTGGATGGACACTCTGAAGTCAGGTCTCATGGAGGTCACTTCTTAAAACCAAGGAGAGGAAACTCAGCCCGGATCTTTCAAGTTGAGACAACACCCTCCACACCCACCCCGCCACCCCCCCCCCCCAAAAGAAGAGGCCAGGCCGAGGGAGTCTGGTTGGGAACCCAGCCCCTTGCCAAGCTCCCAGCTCCGCAGCAGCTGTGGGGCTGTCTCAAGCTGAGAGCAGCCTGGCTCCCTCCCTAGGGCCGCAGCTGGAGAGGCGGGGTGGGCTCCAGCCCGCAAGGTGTTCCCAGACCAGCGAGGCCAGCCACCGCCTCTGTGGTGTGTCTCCCGCCCCTCCTGCTGCTTCTGACCACATCCCCCTCCGCCTCCTCCTGCTTGGCTGTGATCACTGAGTGATCCTTTCCAAGGTGATGCTATAGTAACGAGCACAATACCTGCCCCCACAGCTGGGGCTTATGAATGGGCTCTCAGCCCAGCAGGCACCCAGGATGGAGTGGATGGAACATTGACAAGTCCTCTGCTTTTCCGAGATCTGGCCCTGCAGGCGGGCTCCCGGCCACCACATTATGCCTCTGAGGCCCCTCGTGGAGCCAGGAGACAGTGTTTCAGCCACTGTCCTTGCATGTGGTCCTTGCAGGAACAGTTGTTCTTGAGGAGGCTAAATGCAAAACACTTGCCACGGACATCTAGGAGGGCGTTTGTGTGCTCCTCGTTGACGGAGCAGGATCTCTCCAGGTGTGGCTCAACGGTGCCACTGGGCACATCTGATTGAAGATAGCAGAGCGGATCTTGGACCGGCTTAGAACACTTCACTGGTCGGCACTGTCCCCCAGATAAACCCAAGTTCTTTACCACAGCACACAAGGCCCTCCTTGGGGGACCCCAGCCTTGATTCCTGTCACTCCGTTCTTCATATCAGCACTTCCCTGAATTCAGCAAGCTCCCTGTCGACCCCGGGGTTCGCTCAAGCTGTCCTCTCTGCCTGGGGAGCTCTCCTCACCCCACATCTGGGTAACGTCAAGGGATTCTTAAGTCTCAGTGAGGCATCGCCTCCTCTAGAAACCCTCATGGACAAGGTTCACCCTCCTCTGCCCCATAGGATCTGGCATGTAGTGTGTAGCACAAATATCACACATTGCTCACACATGTATGGGTGGCAGGGTGACGCCTCCATAAACGATGCTGCCATGAAGAAATGGCCTTGTCTCAAGGCTCCAGTGCTCCCACCTCCACATGCCCGATGACCCCCAAGCTATGGGTCTCAGGTTCCCCAGGACCAGCTGCTGCCCTCTGCACGCCACGGTCAAATCCTTCTCCAAGATTTAATTAAATTGATCTAAACCAGAGCGGATGCTTGGTAGATTAAATACTACTACCAATAAAAACTATTATTATAATGGCCAATATTTATTGAGCTCTCTGGTCCAAATCCGTGTTAATAAGCACTCTTTATGTATTGTCATAATCCTCCTAACACTCTTTGCGCTTAGTAATTTATTTTCCCCAACTTTACTGACAGGAAACTAGAGCTAAGAGAGGTTAGACTTGCCAGGTTCAGA